GACAGCCATGCGACTCCCCTAAAGTGCACGCCATTGCTACAGCCAGACCAGTAGTAGGTATAACCCCACTACTGGTCTCACCACTACCAGGCCGTCGCACCTCAGAGAGAGCAGCGATGGCAATCCCCAGTCTCCCCAGCTCCCCCGACAACAAAGGCAGTCGATCATCCTCCGAGAGACTGAGGATGTTCCAGGCCGCTACACGGCACGCTCGCCGCAGATTGACCCCATTTGTGGGGCTCCGGCCGAGCGACGCCTCGGCACAACTAGGCAAGCCTCCCAAGGAGGAAGAGTAGGGGCCGGGTGGGGCCATCCCCCCACCACGTAGCCTCAGGGTGCAGGATTCCCTGGGAGGGCTTTGTCCTACACCCGTCGTACCCGATCGGATAAACCCTGGTCAGGACGCCGAGCCAGGGATCAGGAACTCCCGACCGCAAATCGGGGTCAGAGTCACCTCCTCCGGGATGGCTCCGACCCCCTCTCTCTTTTGAATATATGATTTGTGATTAAAATATAATGATGCAGCTAATATGTGTTAATACAGTAATGACATTCTTAACGACATAATATATATCCCAGAAAACATGAGTATCATCATCACATACATACCAACCGTCACCACAACACCTCATCATTTACATCATTTCTCTTCCGACTCTCACCTCTCCAGGCTGCTCCCAGAATCCCCACGTTGGCTGCTGGCGAAGGGAAAATACGAAGAAGCTCTCAACGTGTTCAAATGGCTCGCGAAGATCAACGGAAGAACTCTGCCACCTGACGAAATTCTCCTGCAGGATATCAAGAACTTAGCAACCTTGGTGGGTTTCCTGGCTTTCTTGGATTTAGTTCTAGGAGAGGAGGAGGGAATAGAAGGAAAGGAGGAGGGAAGGAGGGAGAGAGGGAGGGCGAGAGGGAGAGGGAGGGATGGAAGGAGAGGATAACAGAGACCGAAAGAGAAGGAAGGGAGAGGTGAAAGAACAGGAGGTGGAATTAAAATGAGAAAATAATAAGCTGAATAAATCGCCCCTAAATTTATTCCTTGCGCCCCCTGCCCTCTTCAACCTCCTCTCCCGATACGTGACAGGACGACAAGGAGAAGCCGAAAGCGGACCAAGAGGCTCAGGAGGACCTCGCCGCCCGAGTCCTGGCCGCCGTGAAGGAGTTCTTTGCCCTCGTGACCACCGCGGGCCTCAGGGGAAGGGCGGCGGTCGTCTTCTTCTGCTGGTTCGCGAGCTCGCTCATCTACTACGGCGTCGCTCTCAACGCCACGAATCTGAGGTGCGGTGTGTTTTGTTTTTCTATTGTTTTGCTTGTGTACTCGACTTCATTCGCATTGATAGTGTGTGTGTGTGTGTTTGTGTGTGTGTGTGTGAGTGTGTGTGTGTATAAATATATATATAATATATATATATATATATATATATATATATATGTGTGTGTGTGTGTGTGTGTGTGTGTGTGTATGTGTATGTGTGTGTGTGTGTGTGTGTGTGTGTGTGTGTGTGTGTGTGTGTGTGTGTGTGTGTGTGTGTGTGTGTGTGTGTGCTACTAACCCATCAATCGCCACCATCATTTTATACTTCACTAAGAACATCAAAAGATATTCGTTTCTCTTCCTTTTTATATATATACTTTTCAACCCTTTCCATTAAGATGAACTAAAAAATATAACTCCCACCTATTAATTGTACATGAAAGAGCAATACTAAAATCTCCCCCTCTTATTCCAGCACCGACCCTTACATATACATGTTCTTAGGCGGCCTGCTTGAGATCCCTTCCTACGTGTTGCTGTGGCCAGCTATCATCTACCTCGGAAGGAAGAAGTCGCTTGTGGGGCTCTACCTCGTGTGTGCTGTCTCCATCTTCGCCGTTATGACTGTCCTGATTGTGACTCCTGGAGGTATGGTGTCTTTTCTCTCATTGGGGTGTGTAGGTTTTTATTTTTAAGCGAGGTGACTTTGTGTATGGTGTTTGTGGTGTAGTGGCTTATTTTCAAGACGCTGGCTTTTATTGTTTTTCTTTCTTTATTTATTTAGTTATATATTTAGTTATTTACTTTTTGTTCCGACTGTAGCTAGAATCAACCACACTCAAAACAGAAAAAAATCACTTCCCGCTCCCCTTTTTTTATCCTTCAGAAACTGGCACTTTGATGATCTTCCTGTCGCTGTGTGGAAAGCTCGCCATCACAGCAGGCTTCCATCTGGCATACATCTTTACCGCCGAACTTTTCCCAACGAGTTACCGCTCCCTCGCCGTGGGTCAGGCCAACGTCTGTGCTAGAATCGGGAGCACGTGTTCGCCGTACATCAATGATATTTTGGTGCGGTTATTTCTTTGTTTTATTATTAGTATAATCATCATGATTATCATCATCATCATCGCCGCCGCCGCCATCATCATCATCATCATCATCATCATCATCATCATCATCATCATCATCATCATCATCATCATCATCATCATCATCATCATCATCATCGTCGTCGTCGTCATCATCGTTACAGAATGATAATAGCTATGATAATAGCAATATACATATATGATAGTAATAATGTTGATGAGGATGATCATGATAGCAGCGATGATAATGATGATAGCGATAAAAACGACAGTAATAAAATTGATGATAATGACGATGATGATAAACAAAAGAAGAAAAAATATAATACAAAATTGATTATGATAACCATATTCATGAACTTAACAAAATATAAATCCACATTGAAAATAAATATCTTTAACAGGGTGTTGTAACCGTATGGGCCCCGTCCGCCGTCTTCGGATCCTTGGCTCTGATGGCTGCCGGTCTAGCTGCTTTACTGCCAGAAACCAAAGACTGCGATCTTCCCGAAACGAATGAAATCCCACAAAGTCGCCAAAGGAAAAATTCGCAAGATTCCGCCGATTCCTTGGAAATGAAAACCGGAGTACCGAATTGCAGCTTCGAGCCGGACATCGACCAGAGCGTAACGGACACTGGGCGTTCGTGATTCCGGATACAGATGTTGTTTTATTTTGTCTTGCAAATTATCTTTAACAATACGTATATAGAAGGAAGTTACTGTGATAGTTTTATGTCATTTGAAGTATTTCATAAAAGGAAAAGTAAGCAGGATAACGTAAACTGCCAAAGGATTAAACAACGAAGGACTGTAGATCCGTTATTGTACAAATACATAAAGTGTTTTTAATGTTAAATAGCACTCACCTTATAAATATGTACTTATAGATATGTACAAATGTCATATTTGTTTGTGGCTGGACTACGCTGACTGTACAGGAAAATATTTTGTGTTAAATCAGTTTTGTTTAAACTGTAGATTTCGAATTGTTTTAAAATACATTCACGTCTGGCAGTATTTTTTAAAACAGGCAGTAAAGTATCGGTTCGCAAAAGAGGGTATTTTGTCACAGGTTGGAAAAGGTGTTTCTGAACATGATGGAGAACTGAACACCGGTGAAGGAGTGATTGTAGGTCGTGAAATGCTATATGTAAAGTGAAAGTGCCCTCGAGGAATGCACAAGAGTTGAGAATTTATTGATGTTCTTTGAATATTTTTAAAGGATAGCCTTTTTTATACGTCATCCTGAACTTCGGGTATCATTTAATCAATGCTTCATTTTGTGTTGTGGGATGTGTTTTCGTGAGAGTGTGTGTGTGTGTGTGTTTATAGAGAAACCTTTGTCTATTTACCCTCAAAGTTCCTAATATTAGTTCCGAACCTTAGAAACTACTTACCTCTGTTGATTGATTTAGAATAATTAGGTAATACCTATTACATAATGAAATATTTTATGAACACCTTACTAAATGTGTTATATGTTGTAAGCTTTATGTTGTTTTGTATGTTTCTTTATGAAATTGTTAAGATCATTAGAGTAAAATTACTGGAGTCTACTGTCTGTGCATGCTTACTCATCCTAACTTCGAATGGTATCAAATTCAGGCTTAAGTCTTGCAACATATTCTTGCCTTCACTCAAGAGCTACATTCTTTGCAAATAAGGCTGTTTCGAATTAATAACTTGATTATTTTCTAGATTTTTAGAGTGACTGTAGCTTTAGATCATTTGAGCTTTTTCGGCCGAACGGAAGAGATATTATGACAGTAGAAATTACATATTTTAATTCGTAGTGTCGGATGGTTGCTTACTTTATAAAGCAAGATTGCCTGGAAGATTACCATTTGATTTTATTATGACCCGATTCCCCTCAAAGTATGTATTGCGTGATATTTTGCAAATGACTATTTCTTGGTTCCATTTCTGTATGAAACTATGATTAGGTAGATGGAAATGTTTTTTTTTTTCGTAACAATGATACATATAACAGTGATAATAATAAGGAACTGAGGAGATGTTCCCATTGGAATATATGCAGTAATTTACAGTAACTTGTACATTTTGGAGGGAGTATAATACCTTTGCCAGTATGATCGATCAAAAGTCAGCAAGGAAGTTCATTTTCTTTTACATCTTGGGCAAAGGTTCGCAATCTTTTATTTTCCTCTACTGGTATATTTGACAGTAGAGTACATCTTCCGAATATGACACCGATAACTATGTAGTGTTGTTTTCAAGTACTCAGTCGTATTATAGCCAATGCTAAATCAATGCTACGCCTCATATTTTCAAAAACGTTGATAAAGATTAAATCTACTGAAGGTAAGTTCTACTATATAAACCATTCGACAATGCTCTACGTATAAAAGAGACATTTGATTCGGCCTAAAAGGTTAAAAGGTTCTCCATTTTTCGGTTGCGTGCACATGTGGATAGCTGTGGCGTCACCAGTATCTGTACGGACGAAAAAGCCGCCCTTTAAAGGATAGCAAGAAAAAAATCAAACGCATAGATGTATACACAAACATATTACCACACACATGTATACAATATACATCTGTGAATACAGACACACGCACACACACACACACACACGCACGCACACACACACACACACACACACACACACACACACACACACACACACACACA